TGCACAAATTTTTGTGCACCGGGCCTCTAGTATTATATAAGATTGAGTGATACTAGTTTTCAGGACTCTGATATGTCATGCAATTTTTAAGGACAAAAGGCAGGTATTTGGTGGTTATAATATTATTTCAGACACAGATCAGTCTCTTCACACTTTTTTACTTTCTCTCAGTCTCTCTCCACTTCCCCTTCCATTCCCTCCCAGCCCTCCCCTACCAAAACTGACACCTCTACCATAAGTTCTCCCAGAAGTTAGTTCCCACTTAGCACCTGCATCTACACAGCAATATTCCGGCTGGAGAAAAAGGCTGAGCGTGGACCTAATGGGAGATGTCCTCTGGGGAAAGGGAGGAATTAGAACATGAGTGGGACTTTCTATCCCAGTTTAGCAGGAAAAGAAATCAAAATTTCTACAAAAGGAGCCAGCCCCCAGCCGGAGTGAAAGAGCTGCCCAGAGGTAGTGATCCTGGAAGCACCACTCAGCAGAGCAGCGTGGCACTAAAGCCCACTGGACCATCTACATCAGAGACGATGGCAGCTTCTGACGCCCAGGAGACGGGGCTGAGGTTCAAGGAGGCAGCAGTCAGACTGTCAGCGGTCAGCGTGACACATATAATCTGCTTACAAATGTATTTGAAAGCTTTTAAATGTTTACTTTATCCAATTTTTAAAAGGTGACGAATTCTGAACATTTATAAAATACTGGTATTAGTGGTGGTCTTATTTTGTTTTGGCATTGTTATCACTTACTGTGTGAGAGTATTGGTCCCGCCTCTCCCCTACAAGACTGTAAGCTGCTCAGCAGTGACCATCTGGCAGATGCGCAGTAGGACGGGTTTGCCGAATGAAACAGAAGGATGTGGGGATGCTAGACAAGTTATGAGCAAAGTAGGCCTGGCAGTAAAGGGGGGTTAGGGTTTAGAGATGTGACAGGAGGATAGTTAGAAGAACAAGGGAAGACAAAGCTTCAAGAATAGGTGGCCAAGTGTCAAATGCTGAGAAATGTTGAGCACTGAGCCCACACACTTTTCACACAAGTGGACACTCAAGTTCCTTCACAAAATGTAGGTAAAGAATACAAAGGCCCTAGATCTTGCCAGGCCCAGTTCTGGTGACTCAGAATGGCAGGGGGGAGGCCTAATGGCTAAGGATAAAAGAAAGAATAAAGGCAGTAATCACAGGTTGGTCACCTTTTTGTGTGAAAAGAAATAGCTAAGAAGGGGCAACAGGAAGAAAAGGACATTTTGTTTTGTAAGAAGCCTGGTGCACACTATTCAATCCTTACAAGAATTCCATAGAGTAAGTACTATTATTATACTCATGTTTACACGTGAGCCCAGGGGAGGACGTGAGGCTGAGCTAAGCTGGAAGTGCTGCAGGAGGCGGGGAGGCAAAGGAGAGGGCGGCTCTTCAGGAGGTGGACAGAGAAGAAAAATGGGTTTGTACTGTTTACCTCCTTTTTTTACCACTGAAGGGTAAAAAGAGCTTAAGTAGCTCTCCCAAAGCCACCCAGCCAGCACTAGAAAGGGTAAGACACGAGCCGAAATCTTCTGCGTCTACACTCTCCAGTGCAGCACATGAAGAGGCAGGGAAGAACAGCTCCCAAGCCAGAACTTCCCAACCACAGGCCACCCTTGGTGAGATAAGCCTCTACCCTCGGAGGCTCGCCACTGTGGCTTAGAGAGTATAATAGTAGCACATAGCACTTACTATATACCAGGCCTATTGTAAGCATTTTATATATATTAAACTATTCAATCCTTACAAGAATTCCATAGAGTAAGTACTATTATTATACTCATGTTTACAAATGAGGCAACCATACTCCGAGTGATTAAGTAGCTTGCTCAAGGTCGAAGTGTTAGTATGTAATAGAACAGAACACAGGAGGAGAAGACTGGGCTTTTCAATACAATGATGTTCTCTGAAAATTGTTTAGTTATAATGAGAACTAGAAATGAGTACAATATGGAATCAATAAACTGTGAAGTCATACCATAAAATGTCATGCAGCAAATAAGACAAATCAGCTTTATGTATATGTAATACATGTTTAGATCTCAAAAATGTAATATTGAGTACAAAAATCATTTGTAGAATAAAATGCACAATAAGATATCCATTACATAAAGTTTTAAATATACAATATAACACTATTTGATGACTGATTATGGATATGTATGTATATGATACAAACTTTTAATAGGCTATATTCTGATTTGACAGCAGTTGTCACTATGGAGGGAGGGCAAAGAATGAGATCTGGGAGAGATATGTAAAAAATTCAATTTTATCTGAAATGTTTCTGTTCTTAAAAATATCTGAGGCAAATATGACAAAATACTAATTTTAGGTACACAGAAGCTTTAGGTACACTCTCTGTACTTTTTTTTAGCATGTTTCATGGATTTTTTTTTTTTTTTTTGGAGAGGAAGGGCTCCAAGGGAGAGAGAGAAGCATCAATATGAGAAAGAAAGATCGATCAGTTGCCTCTCGTAGGCACCCTTATCTAGGATAGGACCAAAACCTGGGTAAGTGCCCTGACCGGAGATTGAACCAGCGACCTTTTGTACGACACTCAACCAACTAAGCCAAACCAGCCAGGGCTCTCTGTACTTTTATTTATTTATTTGTTTATTTATTTATTTATTTTGCTAATCCTCACCCAAGGATATTTTTTCTATTGATTTTATTAGAGAGAGTGGAAGGGAGGAGGAGAGACTCACAGAGAGAAACATCAACGTGAGAGAGACACATCAACTGGTTGCCTCCCACATGTGCCCCAACTGGCACAGGGAATTGATCCTGCAACTAAGGTAAATGCCCTTGACCAGAATCAAACCCACAACCCTTTAGTCTTCAGGCTGATGCTATATTCACTGAGCCAAACCGGCCAGGGCACGCTCTACTTTTATGAACAACTGAAAAGTATCTGAGGCAGCTTGAATGGTTGCCTCAGTATTTCCAGGAAAGGGTGTGGCAAGTTGAGGGCAAAGATGTGGGCAAAGTGGGACAACTGAAGACAAGCACTCTGAGCCATGGGGGTGGGAGCGCAGGCGCTGCAAAGCAAGGGGCATGCAGGCTGGGAGCCAGGGACCAAGGAGAGGGCCAGCGGGGAGAGCAGAGCTGGCACAGAAGACAAGAGGCCAAGGGTGGGGGATGGCAGGGAGAAAAGGAGGAAGGAGAAATCAGGAAGGGCTGCTAGAATCTCAGAGGGGGAACTACAGGGCAGATTTCAGTCAGAAGGTGAGAGAGAGCTGTTACACTCACCATTACTCATTGTCCCCACCATGCACTTCCTCACCGCCCTGGCCGGTGGCTGGGTTGGAGCAGTTGTCCATACACCAAAAGGTTATGGATTTGATTCCCAGTCGGGGAGTGTACTGGAGGCAACCAATCAATGTGTCTCTTTCACACAGCTGTTTCTCTTTCTCTCTCCCCCTTCCTCATTCTCTAAAATCAATAAACATCTCCCCAGGTGAGGGTCAAAAAACAAAAAAAACCACTTCCTCACTGTGTATTTAGGGTATTAGGATATCAAATTTGCTTTGCTATGGTTAAATTATCTGAACAGTGTAGAAGACATCTTCTGGGGTCTCTGCCTAAATCAAAACCATCCTCTCTCGTGTGGGAACTGCACCCTTCCTGCCCCCACCTACCAGTTACAGGAGCGGGTATAGTTGGTACCATGTGGTCCCACACTTCTCTGGTCACAGCTAATGAGAACAAGTGGGAACCTGACCTGAGCTGGGGCATGGTCCCTTCCCTAATAATTTGAATTGGGGCAGAGAGATTCCAGCCTCAGGCTGAGATAATCTCCTAAAGGAGCTGTGCCAGGTTTACCATGGCACAGGGGCTGGTCTGCATGGAGAGAAAAAAGCACTGAAACAGAGGGAGCAGCACTGACAACAGCTGGAGAGAGACTGCCTTAGCTCTGGGTGGCTCCCTTTCTTTCTTTCTTTTTTTTTTAAAGAATGGTTTATTGGTTTTTAGAGAGAGAAGGGGAGAGGAAGAGAGAGAAGCATCAATATGAGAGTGCATCAATCGGCTGCCTCCTGCTCACTCTGCCCCCTTCTGGGGATCGAGTGCAAACCGAGTATGTGCCCTTGACCAGGAATTGAATCTAATAATTCTGATTGCCACTGGTTGTGTTTGGTTCACAAAAGAAATATAAAGAAAAGGATGTGCTTTTCTTAACCATCTAAGTTAGAATGAGAAGAATAAAGAGTAAATTAAGAACAATAAAGTGTAAAGAGGCTATGTATATATCCATGAGAACAAATAATATGTAGGACATTAATAAACAAGCTACGGCTAGTCAAACCATGTAAGAGGGTAAAGCTTAGCAGTGGTTAGAGCTGCTTGAGGAAGATGGAAATATCACGTATCTTAGTTTCCTTCACTGACCATCAGGTGGCACTGTTGACCCAAGATAGCTTTGTACCTATGCATATAGCCACTGAAAGAAAAGGAAGAGTGCTAGCTTCCGGTTGCTTCTCGGTGAGTCACTCACAAGCCTATACTTTGGAAAATGGCTTCAAGGAAGTACTGTATTGAAGAGTTGTTATTAGACAAGAATGATCCACTTGGAAAACCCATAGGATAGATACCATAGCCAAACTAATTGATCCCAGTTATCACCTAGAATACTCTAGGTCAGTGGTTGGCAAACTTCTGCGCATGGGCCACGAAGTTTCAATCGCACTGTACGTGCGCGCCCGTACGTGGTATTTTGTGGAAGAGCCACACTCAAGGGGCCAAAGAGCCGCATGTGGCTCGCGAGCCGCAGTTTGCCGACCACTGTGGTGTATTGAATCTGAATTTCTAGCAATGGAACCCTAGAATCCATTTTTAATGAATTTCCCAGGGGTTCTAATATATATTTTAATTTAGAAACAACTGAACAAGAACATTTTCCAAAAGTGATTCTTTTTAAATACTCAAACACACACACACACACACACACACACACACACACACACAGAAAAATAATACCCAAACACATTGAGTATTGGGGACATTGATGTAGGAGACTAACCACGCGCTGCTGACAATATAAAGAATCTGCCCTCCAATATTAATAGTAATTGCTTGGGCGTGGTACTTTCTAAAGGCTTTTTGTTTAAGATGAACATTTATTCTGTTGTAATTACATTCTTCTTATATAGAAAAATGTCCTCTGTGTTTTTTTTAAATTATTATTAAAGCAGTTTTAGGTTTACAAGAAAATAGATAGTAGAGAGGTATTTATGAAGAAAAAAAAATCGCACTTGAATATCACTAGCAACTATTCCTGGAATCACTGTTAGCATGAAAGTCAGCATGATATTTTCATGAAGTGCTGGTTCTATGTCCTTTTCAGCTAACCATACATACCGTTCTTGAACAGCTTTATTGTAAGCCCCAGCATTCAGTGTTTTTCTGATCAAGTCACAGATGTGAGAGCTCTCTCCTGGGCACCGAGGGAGTCCAAAAACACCTAGAGTAGTAGAAGACAAATACCCATTCCTTTAATAATTACGTATTGAATACCTACTATGTCCAAGGCACTGTGAGAAACAAACAAAAAAGGCAGAGCTTGACCCTGATTTCACTCAAATATTCTTCAATAATGTCTTGAGGATTAACACTATCACCAGCTTCCTCTTGGTCCCCCCACACTCTTTCCTGCCTAAAAACCTTTGCACCTGGTCCTCCCTGGAGGATATACAGACATACATCAGAATACTGCAGGTTCAATTCCAGATCGCTACAATAAAGCAAATATTGCAATGAGTCATTCAAATTCTTTGGTTTCCCAGTGCATGTAAAAGTTATGTTTACACTATATTGTAGTCGATTAAGTGTGCAACAGCCTTTACGTCTAAAAATATAATGTACATACCTTAATTTAAAAAACACTTTATTGCTAAAAAATGCTAATAACCACTTGAAACTTCAGCGACTTGTAATCTTTTTGCTGGTGGAGGGTCTTCCCCAGATAGTGATGAAAATATAGTATTTGCAAAGTTCAATAAAGCGAAGTGCAATAATACAAGGCATACCTGTACTGCTCTTGCTGCTTCAATGGCTGGACTCATTTGCATCTCGTAGGTCTTAGCTTAGAGAAGTCATATCTACCTACCCTAACTCAAGTAGTGTCAACCCCATTTCTTCCCCTCTCCCAGTTACACTTTCATCCCCATTATCCTCAATAACGTTTTTCCAGGGTACCGGACATAGTTCTGAGCACATATTGACAATAATTCATTTAATCCTCACAACCACCCTGTGGAATAGAAATCATTTCCAGCCCCATATTACGGATTTGAAACTTTAAAACAGAGGTTCAAGGTTAGATAATAAGTGCTACAGCCAGATGAACACAGCACTTTTGGCTCCAGAGCCTACACTTTTAACCAATACAACCACAATTCTGTCTCTCAAGTATTAACCCTTTTATTTTTCTCTTTATCGTAGTTACCACTGCCTGTATTTATTTTATTTGTTTCATGTCTATCTCCCCCACTACCCACAGAAATGGAAGTCTCATAAAGGAAGGGACCTTGCCTTATTTCTAGGTTTTCAATAAATATTTGCTGAATGAATAAAATGATAAAGCTGTTTTTACCAATTTGCACTTGAATAATATTCGCACTTTTAGAAAGTATTTCCTACCTATTATTTCACTTCATCCTCTGAAAAATTCCCACAAGAAGAGCAGAGCCTTATTTTAGTTTCCCTCACCTGTGAAAGAGACCTAGGAGACCAAATTACTTGCCCATCAGTAATAGTTAATTGGGTGAATCCAGTATCCTGATTATAATGAGAATCCTTCCACCCCTTCGCTATACCACCTAATAGCTATACCCATCAGAACAGAGATAAAGTTCTATTCCAAAGACACATCCTTCCCCAAGAGTCTATAATTCTGTCTACATAGAAAACCTGTTGTTTTCCAAGGATTTAATAGCTACTGTTAATTTCACAGACAAAAAAAGCTTACACATCATTCTTTACCTAAGCCTAGACATCACAATGCCAGAAAACAGGAAAGGTTGTTAGACTTTCCTAATTCCTCAACCAGCACCAGCTACGTGGCTGCAACCATCTCACCTCCAGGAAATCATGTCAATTAAATTGGAGAGAAGTAGATGACACATATGATTCATTTGTGTTCCAGGCCTATGGAACCCTAAATATCTTCCTATTTCTTCAAGAATGCTGGTTAGTTTGTTAGAAGCTGGGGGGTGGGGGGGGGGGGACTGACAACAACAGAATTTTGCAAGGATGGCTGGCTGACTTCTTGTATAAATAGAGCTGCTAGAATTTTTTTTTTTAAATCAAATGGTCATGTGGGTTAAAACAGAAAAAAAGAGGCACAGAGCCAAAGTTACCTTGATGTTGTCCCCCAATTGAGATCAGATTGATCATGGGAGGTGAGGGACATCTCTGAGCCACTGCCCTCCTGAGGGGGGAAAAAAGGATTATCACCTCTGACTGTCAGATGGAAATGTATCATCAACCATCAATTCCTCAGATTAAGACACTTAATTCTCTGTGGTTCTCCAAGGCCACAGAGTTTCAGGATTGTCCTCTGATATGACCAAATACAAGTTTTTATTCTTTCATAGAAAATAAATTAAGTTCCACATAGAGCTTCTGACATGGGGACATTTTAGAATAGTTGGGGGTGGGGGGGCTGGCTCTGTCTATGGGGCACTCCCAGGCCTTTCCCCGCCTCCTTCCCCAGGGCACTTTCCTTGCCTCTCTCTTTCCCCTAAGCTCCAAGGGGCCTTCTTTTGCCTCTGTCACTTGTTCCCTGAGTCCATTTCTTCTACAGCTCACTTCTACTTCTGTGACTTTATAAATAAGCTTTCTCTATAGTTTGGGGGAGGAGGTAGCATAGCTTCCCTTCCATAGGTGAAGATCTAAAAATAACTAGAGGAGTTAATCTATCCGAATCAGAAAAAAGAAGTCGATTCCATGTAATTGGTATAACAGAAGGGAACTTACAGAAATTGGCCTCCCTGGGAGAATCCCATAGCATTGTAGCCTTGCTGCAATTTAGGATCCTTAGCAAGAATCTCACACACTGATGTTACTTGGGAATTGACGTTCAAGAAGAAGCTATTCTCCACATCCTAAAAGAGGAACCACAGAGAAGTGAAAAGACGGGGCTGAAAATCAACAATGGCGTCTTCTAAGAGGTGAACTTGTTTAGTTTAGGTTGGTATCCTCACATACGCCACTCAGGAGTTAAATTGCCATTGCTTGATATGCTGCAAAAGCATAAGGCAAAGCATTTGAGCAGTACATTCTATGAAACTAGTCAGCAAACGTCCAAGGAACAGAGCTGTGAAGAGCCTTACCTCTATCAGGGTCTTCCCAATCTCTAGAGATAAGACGTAAATTCCAGGTATTTTCTTCTCAACCATTTTTTTGATAAAACCCATGCTTAAGGGATTACAACAGCTGTCTCCTAGACAACAAAGACAATGATGGGAACTTATGAATCATAAGATTTTTTTTAAAACTTTTGTGCTTCAAAGGGCATTATCAAGAATGTGAAAATACAACAAACAGCATGGGAGAAAATATTTGCAAAACATATATCTGATCAGAATATACAAAGAACTCTTATAATTCAAAAAGAAGATAACCTAATTAAAAATGAGGGGGAAAAAAGGATTTCAACACACATATCTCCAAAGATGATATACAAATGGCCAACAAGCACATGAAAAGATGGTCAGCATCATTGCTCATTATGGAAATGCAAATCAAAACTACAATGAGATACCACTTCGTACCTTTATGAAAGGATGGCTTTCATAAAATAATTAATTTAAAAAAATGAACAATACCAAGTATTGGCAGGATATGGAGAAATAGTAACCTTTGTACATTGCTGGTGGAAATGTAATATGATACAGCCACTGTGAAAACAGGCTGGTAGTTCCTCAAAAAGTTAAACATACAGTTACAGTTATCATATGACCTAGACCAGTGATGGCAAACCTTTTGAGCTCAGTGTGTCAGCATTTTGAAAAACCCTAGCTTAATTCTGGTGCCGTGTCACCTATAGAAATTTTTTGATATTTGCAACCATAGTAAAACAAAGACTTATATTTTTGATATTTATTTTATATATTTAAATGTCATTTAACAAAGAAAAATCAACCAAAAAAATGAGTTCGCGTGTCACCTCTGACACGCATGTCATAGGTTCGCCATCACTGACCTAGACATATGACTTCTAGATACAGACCCAAGAGAAATGAAAACATGTGTCCATACAAAAACGTGTACATGAATGTTTATAGCAGCATTATTGATAACTGTCAAAAGGTGAAAATGACCCAAATGTCCACCAATGGATGAATAAAGTAATTGTCATACACACACACACACACACACACACACGCACGCACGCGCACGCGCGCACACGCACATTGCCACATGCTACAATGTGGATGAACCTGAAAACATTATTATAAGTGAAATAGGCCAGATACAAAAGCTCACACATTGTACTGTTCCTTTTAACGGATATATTCAAAATAGGCAAATCCATAGACAGAAAACAGATTGGACATTTCAGTGAGTTGTGGGAGAAGGGGAATGAAGAATGATTATTTAATGGGTACAGGCATTTTCTGGGATAATAAAAATGTTTTAACTAGAGAGAAGTAGTGGTTGCACAACACTGTAATACACTAAATGCCACTGAATCGTCTACTTTATTGTGGTTAATTGTATGCTACATGAGCTTCTCCTCAATTTAAGAACGAGCATTTTGCCCTAACCGGTTTGGCTCAGTGGATTGAGCGGCGGTCTGTGGACTGAAGGGTCCCGGGTTCGATTCTGGTCAAGGGCATGTACCTTGGTTGAGGGCACATCCCCAGTAGGGAGCGTGCAGGAGGCAGCTGAATCGATGTTTCTCTCTCATCAATGTTTCTAACTCTCTATCCCTCTCCCTTCCTCTCTGTAAAAAATCAATAAAATATTTTAAAAAAAAAAAAAGAACGAGCATTTGTGCTTTGCTCCTGTTTATCAAGTAATAAACTTCAAAAGCCCACACAATGTAACTGGGACACCAAATTTACAACTGAAAAATAAGCAGAGGTGCATATTCCCCTCCCTTATCACACAAAATTTAAGGAGGCACTCACTCTCAGATTCATGTAAGTGCTGACCCTCAACTTGTAACAAACTAGAGAGTGAGTACTTCCTTAAATCTAACCCTCTAGGGCAGCGAGATGGTCCGAGGCAGGTACACTGGTGTGCCTGCAAGTATTTTGAAAACATGCAATACCTATTTAATCATGGGCACTGACCCCTCTTCCCTTAGATTGTCAAATAAAACAATGACAACAGCCAACACAACAATAGTCATCCGGTGTGAATGAATCAAAATTACACCTTTCTTGCCCTGACCGGTTTGGCTCAGTGGATAGAGCGATGGCCTGCGGACTGAAGGGTCCCAGGTTCGATTCCGGTCAAGGGCATGTACCTTGTTTGCAGGCACACGGGGGTGTGGAGGCAGCTGAATCGATGTTTCTCTCTCATCAATGTTTCTAACTCTCTATCCCTCTCCCTCTCCCTTCCTCTTGGTAAAAAATTAATAGAATATAAAAAAATATTTTAAAATTACACCTTTCTTTTTGTCAGATCAGCAACAAATATATTTTTCGCTGTGCCGAAGAATTTTAGTAATCAGTTTGTGTGTGCCATGAGATGAAAAGGGTGTGCCATTGCTGAGGGCTTCCTTGTTTCACCCAAGGCCCAGTCCTGTTTCTCCTCCTGTTTTAAGGAACCAGAACTAAGAATGGGAAGCAAAGTGACTGACCGACCACCAAGTGGGAGAAGTGGGATGAGATTATTTTCCATTTTAACTTAATCATCCTGTTTTCGACCTGAGAGGAAGCTTAAGAATTACTTTTTCAAGAGGAAAAGGCTAAGGATTACAGCCTCTTAGCTTTCGCTCATAGTAACATGCACCGCACTGAACTGCAATTGTTGGTTCTTACCCGCCTCCCTACGGACTGCCTGTGCTCTGGAAGGACGCGAAGCATCTTGTGTTCTCATTTAACTCCCCTGTAGCGACCCAGGCCCTGGCACAAAGCCCTGACAGACTGGCTATATTTGCTGACTCTGATTCCTCTCTGAACACTTTCCTTCAACCCATTCCAACAAGGCTCTCATTCTTTCCAGAACTGCTTTTGTCAAGGTCTTTGGTGATATTCATGTTGCTAAATCCAGTTACCAATTCTCAGCCCTTACCTTGCTTGACCTGTAAACGTTCCATAGTTTGATTATCTCTTCCTCTTGAAACATTTTCAGCTGTTCCCCAGGACACTGCACTCTCCTGACTTGCTTCCACCTCCCTGGTTGTCCCATCACGGCCTTCTTTGCTAGTTCCTTCTCATCTCCTCAACCTCCATATGTTAGGAGTGCCTCAGGGCTCAATCCTCAGACCTCTCCCCTCTTCTGTGTACACTCACTCTCTAGGCTGTATAACCTTGCACCCAGGCTCAGCTTTAAGTACCAAATATATGCTGAAGGCTTCCCCAAGTTAAATCTCCACCCTGCACCTGTCTCCTAGACTGCACACTCCAAATACCTCTACATCTCCTGGATGTCTAACAAGCGTCTCAAACTTAGTAAGTTCAAAAGCAGACCTCTGCTCTTCTCCCCACCCCAAGTGTGCTCCCTACAGGCGTCCCCACTTTGGGGAAATGCCAACATCATCCTTCTGGTTGTTCAGGCCAAAACCCATGGAGTCATCCTTGATTCCTTTCTATCTCTTTCATTCCACATCTCATCTGTTAGCAAATCCCTTTGGTTCCATCTTCAAAATATTCCAAACTTTGACCACTTCTCCATTTTACTATACTGTTTCAAGCCACTGTCATCTCTCTCTCTCTTTTTTAAGTTTTGTTTTGTGGTGTTTGTTTGTTTTTTTTGTTACTCCTCCTTACCCGAGGATATTTTCCCATTGATTTGTAGAGAGTGGAAGGGATTTTTTTAAGTTTTGTTTTGTGGTGTTTGTTTGTTTGTTTGTTTGTTTGTTTTTGTTACTCCTCCTTACCCAAGGATATTTTCCCATTGATTTGTAGAGAGTGGAAGGGAGAGAGAGAGACACGTCGATTGTTTGCCTCCCATATGAGCCCAACCAGGGCCGGGGATGGAGCCTGCAACCGAGGTACCTGCCCTTGACCGGAATCAAACCCAGGACTCTTCAGTCCGCAGGCCAATGCTCTATCCACTGAGCCGAACTGGCTAGGGCCACTGTCATCTTTTTTTAAAATTACTACAATAGCTTCCTAACTTGTCTCCCTGCAAATGTCCATGACCTCCTACAACAGCGGTTCTCGACCTGTGGGTCGCGACCCCTTTGGGGGTCAAATGACCCTTTCACAGGGGTCGCCTAAAACCATCAGAAAACACATATATAATTACATATTGTTTTTGTGATTAATCACTATGCTTTAATTATGTTCAATTTGTAACAATGAAAATACATCCTGCATATCAGATATTTACATTACGATTCATAACAGTAGCAAAATTACAGTTATGAAGTAGCAACGAAAATAATGTTATGGTTGGGGGTCACCACAACATGAGGAACTGTATTAAAGGGTCGCGGCATTAGGAAGGTTGAGAACCACTGTCCTACAATCTATTCTCAACTAGAGCGGTCCTTTTAAAATATAAGTTCAAATCATGTCACTCCTCTCAACTCCCCACTCCAAGGGCTTCCCATCTCATTCCAGCCAAAGCCCCTACAGTGGCCTTAATGGGCCTAACAACATCTGCAGCCCCCTCTCCCACCCCCGACCTAAACCCCTATTTTCTTCTCCTTGTTCACTCAGTTCCCACCACACTGACCTGAATGTAGTTTCTGGAACATACCAGACATACCTCTGCCTCAGGGCCTTTGCATTTGCTACTCCTTGGACCAGATGGCCACAGGGTATCTCCCTTGTCCACTTCAGTCTTTGCTCAGATATCACTCTCTCAGTGAGTCCTTTCCTGATCTTGCTCTGAAAAACTGCAAGCCACCATCTTCGGTTTCCATGCCCCTCTCTGCTTTATTGTTTTATTTTTCCATCGCACTCGGCACTTACCTGTATAGTCTGTCTCTCCCATTGGAACGTAAGCTCCAGAAGAGCAAAGAACTTAGTCTGCTGTACTCTCTACTGTATCGTCCGCATCTATAGGTGCTCAATAACTATGTGACTCGCTGCCTAACAAATCTCTGTTCACCGTGTGCATGAATCAGAGGACGGATGCCCGGGTCGCTGCAGCCACAGCCCAGCCCTGCTGAGCGGGTGCCAGATGCTCCATCCTGTCGCTCCATCCTCGCTGCCGTGAGGATGACACACTCCGCACAGCAGTGCACAGCCCCTGCGAGCCGCACCCAAGGACAGACCCTCCCCCCGCCGCTTCTCAAGCAGGGCAGCCCCCAAATCCTCACGCCGCCGGCGGCTGCTGTGGGACCGCGGTCCGCCCCTTGCACTTGGCAGACGCGAACCCGGGCTGAAAGGGGGAGAGTCGCCAGACCCGTTGGGTCCTCCCCTCGCTCACTCACCCATCCCGTGCCAGATCACTGAGCATATTTGTTACAGCAATTTCAAAGCTGTTACATGTTGATTTCTATGTCATGTCTAAGTTTCTTACTACTAACGTTATTTTCCTTGTAATGGGTCACATTTTTTCATTTTTTTAACATGTCTAATCATTTTTATTGGGTGCTTGGAATTGTGATTGTTACACTTTGCATGCCTAGATATTATCTTCCATTAAAGTGTTTTCAAGTTTGTTTTGTCAGGCAATCAATTTACTTGTGGATCAACCTGATCTAATTGAGGTTTGTTTCTAAAATTTTAGGAAAGTCTAGAATAGCCTTTACTCTAGGGCAGTGGTCGGCAAACTCATTAGTCAACAGAGCCAAATATCAACAGTACAACGATTGAAATTTCTTTTGAGAGCCAAATTTTTTAGACTTAAACTATATAGGTAGGTACATTGTTATTAACTTAATTAGGGTACTCCTAAGGCTTAGGAAGAGCCACACTCAAGGGGCCAAAGAGCCGCATGTGGCTCGCGAGCCGCAGTTTGATAGATGGGAAGCCTCAGTGAGTCAGTAACGTTTATTCACCACTTCACAGCAAACACTGTCCCAAGTGCTCTAAGTCTGTTAACTGGTTTGTTCTCACAACAACCGTGTACACTTCTCCCCATTTTACAGTCAGGACACTGAGGCGCTGAGAATTTGGGTGAGGTGCCAAGGTCACAGAGATAGCAAACTGGGGGTTCTGTTACAGGTAGACCAGAGACAGCCCTTCCCCACCCTACCCCCCAAAAAAAGATGTTCTTGGACAGCCCCCTGAGCCAGAGGAGAGGGCTGCCCCCAACCTCGATTCTTGTCTTCTCATATAAATTACTTTTTAAATATATATTGATTTCAGAGAGGAAGGGAGAGGGAGAGAGAGATAGAAACATCCATGATGAGAGAGAATCATGGATAGGCTGCCTCCTGCACTTCCCACAGGGGAGCCCTGCAACCAGGCAGGTGCCCTTGACTGGAATTGAACCGGGGACCCTTCAGTCCGCAGGCCGCCGCTCTATCCACTGAGCACACCGGCTAGGGCCCTATAAATTACTTTAAATGAGAGACTCTGTGTGTTGTGATAAAGCCAATTTATTAAAGAAGCAAGGCAAGCACATCTATACATCTGATTTGTGAAGCACAGACTGGCTCTCAGCTAATCTGAAGAGGGAGTTGGGGTCCAGGTGTTATATCCCGCCCCCCCTCCCCCCAGTGTTGCTTGGCGTGATTTGTGGCCTTTCCAGAATTCATGAGAAGCACCTGGCAGTTTTATCTTTACAAGTGGAGACTGCTAGTTTTTCTGTTAAGGGAGTAAAACTGCCCTTTTTTCATTTCTCCTTCCTCCTCCTTCCCTGCACTCTCTTATTAGGGGAGGATTTTAACCATTTGCTCTCAAGTGTCCTTGGCTGGGAAAGATAATGGCTTGTTATTTACGAGCTGGCTGCAAATTGCCTACACTGGTCTTGTTTTGACTTTCTTCTCTGGGCTTTAATTCCTCTCGCCCTGAAATTTTCCTAGCTTTTCACAGCCCTGTTAACAGTTCCAAAGTCGTCCTTTTAACCACTGCATTGTACTGCCTTTGGAAGAAAACTACTTTGGGAAGGAAGAAAGGAAGGGAGAACTCAGCTCTCTATTAGAATTGGAAGGGATGGGGGAGGGATTTTTCCAGCCAGGGCCATCAAGGCAGGGTGTGTGGTACTTATTAAAGATCTAGACAGGGGTCCTCAAACTTTTTAAACAGGGGGCTAGTTCACTGTCCCTCAGACCGTTGGAGGGCGGGACTATAGTTTAAAAAAAAACTATGAACATATTCCTATGCACACTGCACATATCTTATTTTGAAGTAAAAAAACAAAACGGGAACAAATACAATATTTGTATTTGCATGTGGCCCGCGGGCCGTAGTTTGAGGACCCCTGATCTAGAAGGTAAAGGTGGGATCTCAACAGGCAAAGATGAAATGTGGGAGGACTCAAATGAGCTAAAGTAGAGAGGAGGAAAAGTAGTGTTTTCTGGAAATATCAGGGCTTTCCAGACTGACAAGAACAACTGTTGGATGTTTAAGAGTGATGAGCCCTAACCGGTTTGGCTCAGTGGATAGAGCGTCGGCCTGCGGACTCAAGGGTCCCAGGTTCGATTCTGGTCAGGGGCATGTGCCTTGGTTGCCCGCACATCCCTGGTGGGGGGTGTGCAGGAGGCAGCTGATCGGTGTTTCTCTCTCATCGATGTTTCTAACTCTCTATCTGTCTCCCTTCCTCTCTGTAAAAAATCAATAAAATATATTAAAAAAAAAAAGATACACTACAGCCTTCTAAAAAGAAAAAAAAAAGAGTGATGAAAACACTACCTGGTTTGGCTCAGTGGATAGAGCATCTGCCTGCGGACTGAAGGGTCTCAGGTTCGATTCCGTCCTTGGCCAGGTTGTGGGCTCCATCCCCAGTAAGGGCTGTGCAGGAGGCTCCATTCCCAGTAAGGGGTGTGCAGCAGGCAGCTGATCAATGATTCTCTCTCATCATTGATTTTTCTATCTCTCTCTCCCTCCCGTCCTCTCTGAAATCAATAAAGTAGTAGTATATTTTAAAAAATGAAATATATAAATAAAGGTTGACTCAAAGCTCTCACTGGCGCCAATCTAGACAGAGTAGGAATATTCCTACCTGAACCCGTTTTCGGACAGGGTTAGTTATATGTTGCTTTCTCTCCAGTTCGAAGAGCACGTGACTTTAAAGTTAAAGTTGTAAATACTTCATCACAAGGGAAATTAGTCAAGCACACTGCAAGTGTTTTGACTCTTAATGTGATATACAGGGAGATATTAGAATAAGTTTAATCAATTTATCAGTCATTGTTTTTATCAATGTTGTTTTTATATCATGTTTTTGTTGTTTTTATATCATGTCTTTGTTGTTGGTATAGCATGTGTTTCTTCTAATTAATTTCCTTTCAATGTGCATGAATCTGTGCACCAAGCCACTAGTATTATATAAATTAACAATGTAAAATAACATGACAAGGAAATATTGGGCCCTGTGAGAAGGGTTTATGGAAGATTGTGTGAGAATGCTGATGTCCTGATCTTCTGTAGCAGGGTCAATTGATTCTAATTTAAAACATGTTTTTTGAAAGAAAAAAATATATCAAAATTGCTTTTTCTAACCTTATATTGATATTTTAAGAAATAATATATTTTGTAGTGCATAAACATTTACTTGATTCTTCAGCTTTTATTTTATACTTTATTTATTTATTTGGGGGTGGAGGGTGAGGAGTTTTTTTGTTTTTTTTTTTTAATATATTTTATTGATTTTTTTTTTTAATTAAATCTTTATTGTTCAGGTTACATTTGTTCCTCTTTTTTTCCCCCCCATAAGTCCCCTCCTCCCAGTTCCCACCCCACCCTCCGCCCTCACTCCCCACCCACTGTCCTCATCCATAGGTGCACGATTTTTGTCCAGTTTCTTCCCGCATCTCCCATTCCCCTTTCCCCCCCAAGAATAGTCAGTCCATTCCCTTTCTATGTCCCTGATTCATTATAATCACCAGTTCATTCTGTACATCAGATTATTTATTCACTTGATTCTTAGATTCACTTGTTGATAGATGCATGTTTGTTGTTCACAATTTGTATCTTTACCTTTTTCTTCTTCCTCCTCTTAAAGGATACCTTTCAGCATTTCATATAATACTGGTTTAGTGGTGATGAACTCCTTTAGCTTTTCCTTATCTGTGAAGCTCTTTATCTGACCTTCAATTCTGAATGATAGCTTTGCTGGATAAAGTAATCTTGGTTGTAGGTTCTTGCTATTCATCACTTTGAATATTTCTTGCCACTCCCTTCTGGCCTGCAAAGTTTCTGTTGAGAAATCAGCTGACAGTCGTATGGGTATTCCCTTGTAGGTAATTGAGTCTCTTTCTCTTGCTGCTTTTAAGATTCTCTCTTTGTCTTTTGCTCTTGGCATTTTAATTATGATATGTCTTGGTGTGGTCCTCTTTGGATTCCTTTTGTTTGGGGTTCTCTGCGCTTCCTGGACTTGGAAGTCTATTTCTTTCACCAGGTAGGGGAAGTTTTCTGTCATTATTTCTTCAAATAGGTTTTCAATATCTTGCTCTCTCTCTTCTTCTGGCACCCCTATAATTCGGATGTTGGTACGCTTGAAGCTGTCCCAGAGGCTCCTTACACTATCTTAGTATTTTCGGATTCTTTTTTCATTTTGCTTTTCCGGTTGGGTGTTTTTTGCTTCTTCGCATTTCAAATCTTTGGCTTGATTCTTGCGCTCCTCTGGTCTGCTATTGGGTGTCTGTATAATATTCTTTATTTCAGTCCGTGTATGCTTAATTTCTAGTTGGTTCTTTATCATAGCATCGAGGGTCTCATTAGTTTTCGTGACTCTCTCCTCAAGTTTATTGACAGCTTCTAGCACATTTTTGCAAGCCCTCAAAATTGCGATTTTTAGCTCTATATCCTCCATTTCTGTCATGTTTTTTTGTCTCCGCATTTTTTATGCTTTCTTGGTGCACCCCCTAGTGGTCTTTGTGCGCAGTCTTGTTCTAGTTGAGCCTTGATTGTTGTAGTTAATACTAGAGGGATTTGACCACCAGGCCGACTGGCTGTGTGAATCAGCTGTGTCTGCCGCGGAAAACTTCTGTCCTCTGGGGAGGTGCTAATCTAGCCTTTGCCTGAGGCGATCCGGCAAATGGCTCTGCGCAGGGCTTGGGCGGGGCGGGCTCAACAGGGCGGGCGGAGGGAGCCGTTATGGTGCCCTCAGTCCTGTTCCCAGAGGCTCTGCTTCTCAGAACCCCAGGAACCGCTGCAAACCTCGGAGAGAAAGCTGCCTTCCAACTGATGCCAGACACTCCCGCTTCTCCCGTTTGGGTCCGAGTCCCCAGCGATTCGCCCGTATCTGGAGCTCAGAGTCTGAGACTCCCCCCTGACCGAAAACGACAACCGCGCTCTCAGCCACCAGCCCGCTTTGCGCGCGCACCTCCGCACCTG